GGGGGGGGGCTTACGGTAGACCACCCAAGCGCTGTAGACCTTCAACTAAACTGGCACTGTTGTTGTTATAAATCTTTACTTAGGTGATTGGAGTGGCGGAGCCTCATGAAGGAAGACGAAAAACCTTACTGAAATTAGGAACCATACCTCCAGAAAATGTATTTACTGGTGAGTTGACCTGTTGACTGAGAGGACGGACTTTGTATCGGATCTACTTAAACACAATACGGGATATAAGTTGGGTTGGGGTTTTGGTGGGTTTTTCGGGGGGGGGGGGGGAGGAAATGTATTTACTAAGTGACATAATGACATTTTGTTGGATACTGGCACTTCATTATCAATTTTTTTTATTGTCTGTTTTCTTGTAAATTAGATGTTTTTACGGCCTCATCGACACAATTTAGATCAATTGTCAGTTTAAATCGCAAAGTAGATCTTGATGGGAACCTTTTTGCCCCTATTATTCTTGATATTAATATTATGTACTATTATTGATGGTTCGACACTTTCTGGCTTTTTGTTACATCTTTCTCTTCTGGAAGTTACAAGGAAATGTGTTGTATTTTTCTGTCAGACTGGCGGAGTGCCGCCAAAAGGGAGAAGTTGGCTGACTTTGTCATCATTGCCACAGTGGACCGGGAACACAAGGTAAAAAATATCAGTTGTTTGACTTTAAAGGCTTTGTCAGTTTTCATTACATGTGGATTACGAATTGATATAATTATAAAAGTACTGCAGATAATTTCTATAGCGCCCATTCCCGTGCAATAAAGATCTACACGTAGGCTAAGCTGGCTGGTCTTTAAACAATAGCACCAGAAGTAGTAGGACATTGTTCTGCGTTTTCCACATTCGGCTAAAGCTGAAGAGGGGAGAAGCATTAGCTTTAGCTTCATTCTGTTAATCATGTTGTGCTTAGATGAATTTTCTTTCACAATGAAATCTTTGGTCACTTTTGTTTTCGTTGTCTTTGCCTGATTTAAAGAAATCAATCTATCGGCGTTTATGTCCAGTGTATGTTTTAAAGCCATCAATTATATTGTAATCTATTCCAGGAATCAACTATAGCGTTTGCTCAGCTGGGATACCACATCCTCTTGGAAAAGCCAATGGCAGTAAGTTTCGCTCACACATCTTTTTTTTTAAAGTGCGGTATGAGCACTCTTGTAACATGGTTTCATTCTCCTCACAGAAGGCTGAAGACTACATGAGAAAAATTGGTGATGTCACATTTTCCAACTTACTGAAAATTTAGATCCAAAGACTTTCTATTGCTTACGTATATGTGCTGAGTTCTTAGACGTCTTACTGTTCAACGGTTGAACGATAAATTTAGTGGTTATTTTACACAGGTTTCATCTTCAAATGTCATTTTTGGGTTGCACGGTGGAAATTTGAAGAAGAAGACTTGATTTGGTCGTCCCTAGTCTTTTCCATTGTAGTCTTCAACTTTAATACACCCCAAACCCTTGTCTGAGCATTATTGTCTCTTTGCTTAAGTTTTTTTAGGGTAGGAATGTGAGCAAGAATCTCAGCTCTCTTTCCCCACCTCTCTATGCGAGGAGCTGAGAATGAGGGTTGTGCCCAT